TCCTCCTCCTCCTCCTCCTCCTCCTCCTCCCCCTCCTCCTCCTCAAGACGCCGACAGAACGAGCAGCTCGGGGTTTGAAGTGTCTTGCTGCTCCTGAGGTCCGTCCAGTGTGGTCTCTCCAGCGCTCCTCCTGCACCCTCTGGCGCTTTGTAGCCAAAACGGGTCCTTGGTGTCGCTCGGACGTGTGCACTTTTTTCTCGGCGGGGATTAGGAAGGAGCATCCTGGATCATCCTGCGAAAAACCACGCGCGAAACCAAAACAAACACAGGGAATGGACGTCCGAGCGATGTCCAGGGTCTCTGTTTCTTATTCAGCGTTCCTTGTGTAGCTTGACTGCCCTGGGGCTCTGGAAGGGAAATGTCACGACCAAGACCCACGGCACGGTGGAGTCGGTGGACACGATGGCACGGGCGCAGGCGCCGACGCTGATCGATCGGAGGCGGAGACGAAGAAGGAGGAGCAGGAGGAGCAGGAGGAACATGAGGAGGAGGAGGCGGAGGAGGAGGAGAAGGCGGAACAGCAGGAGGAAGAGAAGGACGAGGATGAGGAGAATCGTAGTGTAATTGCTGATGCCCTTGAGGGTAGGCGTGAGGAACAGCAGGAGGAAGGGAAGGACGAGGAGGAGGAGGATCGTAGTGTAATTGCTGATGCCGTTGAGGGTAGGCGTAGCCCTGTCGAGGGCGCGGGGATTGATTCATAAGAAATAGCGCGGTCTGTGGGCGCTTGGAGGGGGGGGGGTGGAACCGACCCCCCCCCCCGCCACTGGATTGGAGGGGGAGGGGTCGGTTTTCGCGGATCGCCAGAGGCCGCGGATATGGACCTATTTTGGCCCCCGGGGGACCCAAGTATATCCATACCCACCGCCTGCCTGGTCTCCAGGACGTCGATTCCCGGGCGGTGGAGGTGGACTCATCCCCGCCTTGCAGCATCCGCCTACTCGGGGCGAAACCTCTAGACCGGTCGATGTGGATAAATCCTTGGCTTGCCTTATGATGTTTGAACCTACTGTAGCCTTTACCACCAGAAAGAATTTCGAGCACCAGTAAAGTACCGAAATTGGAGGTTTTTCATGTGTCGGGCCCTGGGAGGCGATACTCGTTCGACACCGTTTCGACACTTTTCTGGGCGCTCGAAATTATTTCTGGGATGTGGTTCTTACGTGCGATGGGGGCAACATAAGGCTTGCCCTTTCCCTCCTCGCCCTCCCTCGCGGCCCAGCCCAAAAGCCGAGCGCGGCGAGGAGCTGCTCGATCAGCGCGTGGTTGCGGAGCAGAAGCTCTGGCAGCTGTTGGGCACCTACAAGAGAGCCGCCGCCCTGCCCTTGCAGGAGGGGGGGAGGAGGATGAGGGGGAGGAGGAGGAGGAGGAGGAGGAGGAGGAGGAGGAGGAGGAGGAGGAGCAGGAGGAGGAGGAGGAGGAGGAGGAGGAGGAGGAGGAGGAGGAGGAGGAGGAGGAGGAGGAGAGGAGGAGGAGGAGGAGGAGGAGGAGGGAGGAGGAGGAGGAGGAGGAGGAGGAGGAGGAGGAGGAGGAGGAGGAGGAGGAGGAGGAGGAGGAGGAGGAAGAGAGGAGGGAGGGGGAGGAGGAAGAGGAGGAGGGAGAGGAGGAGGAGGAGGGAGGAGGAGGAGGAGGAGGAGGAGGAGAGGAGGAGGAGGAGGAGGAGGAGGAGGAGGAGGGGGAGGAGGAGGAGGAGGAGGAGGAGGAGGAGGAGGAGGAGGAGAACGACAGTGACAACGACGACGTAGGAGTCAACAGGAGGAGAAGCAGGATCGCCCCCACTTGCTCTCGAGCCTAAGCCGCTGTTGCGCAGTATGTTGCAAGCCGGCACATCGACTCACACACACAGAGGTATGGTAGGTTTGCGTCGTGTCGACCAGCGGCGACCCCAGCGCGGACGTTCAAGGTTGAACGCCGCCGGCGACCCAGAATCGATCGATGTTGAACGATCGGACGTTGCGGCAGCGGCCGATCGTTCAAGGTTGAACGATCCCTGCGGTGTCAAAAACCAACGATGGGGTCGGCACGACACGAACCTGCCGTAATCGGACTTTGAAACCTGGCACACCGACTCAGCTGAATTCTTCGCGCTACTGTGGATGCTATAGTAGCGTTGGGCCACGCGACGTCGACAAACGTCAGAGGCAGTACAAGCCCAGACCTGCCCGAACGTGGACGGACTCTCAACTGGAACAGGACGGTGGTTTTCGCGTGAGGTGCTCGCCATGGTTCGCTAAGTTCGTGCCGCGAAGTTTTATGCGTCGCACTTGAATGGATTACATCGGCATGCCCAATTCGTCAACGATACATGAGAAGACATATGAGGTTCGCCAAGCAGGCACGACACTGGCACTGGCACGAGCACGGCACGGCCAATTTTTTGCTTGTTGGGTCTTAGGCACAGCCAGCTCCACGGAAGGCTCCACCTGCACGTCTGCACGTTTTTCCCCTTCTTCCTGCCCCTCGCCATCCTATGTCCAGACATCTGACGATTCGTTTTTGTTGTTTGGTTCGTGTTGTTTTTGTTTCAGTGTGCGGGTCCAGAGAGAGGTTCCTACCAATTCCCAGTTTTTGTATGTTCGTTCCGGAAAGGTTTCTTTGGGCCCTGGGCCCCGAAAGTGTGCCCAAGAGGTTGAACAATGTTGAAAAACACGAAGTTTGAACAAATCATGCCGCTGGAGATCGGGTGTGCTTCGCCCCCCTGGCCCCCTCTCTCGGACGGGGCTAGGACGAGGATCAATCCGGAACTTTTGGATAGTGTGCCGCTCCGCCGGTTCTGCCCCACCATTCTTCGACGCGACACGCTATCCACTTCCCAGTCCCAAAGAATTCCCTCGGGGGTCCTTAGGGATTCCCTAGGGTTTCCCTAGGGATTTCCCAAGGGATCCCCTAGGGATTCCCTAGGGATTCCCTTGGGCCCTTGGGATTTCCTCGGGATTTCCTTAGGATTCCCTCGGAATTCCTAAGGTTTTTTTCGGGATTCCCTCGGGAGGGAGTCCTGGGGTTCCCTAGGGATTCCCTACGGATTCCTCAGGATTCCCTGGGGACCTCCCCGGGGCCGGTAGAGGCGTCGGCTTCAAGAGGAGGAGGAGGAAGAGGAGGTAGAGGAGGAGGAGCAGGAAGAGGAGGAGGCGGAGGAGGCGGAGGAGGAGGAGGAGGAGGAGGAGGAGGAGGAGGAGGAGGAGGAGGAGGAGGAGGAGGAGGAGGAGGAGGAGGAGGAGGAGGAGGTGGCGGAGGAGGAGGAGGAGGAGGAGGAGGAGGAGGAGGAGGCGTCGGCTTCACCAGCCCGCGCTCTTCCGTGCTATCCACTTCCCAGTTCCCAAGGATTCCCTCGAGGGTCCTTAGGGATTCCCTCGGGATTCCTGAGGGTTTTTTCGGGATTCCCTCGGGAGTCCCTAGGGAGTGCCTCGGGATTCCCTACGGATTCCTCAGGATTCCCTGGGGACCTCCCCGGGGCCGGTAGAGGCGTCGGCTTCAAAAGGAGAAGGAGAAAGAGGAGGTAGAGGAGGATGAGGAGGAGGAGGCGGAGGCGGAGGAGGCGGAGGAGGAGGAGGAGGAGGTGGCGGAGGAGGCGGAGGAGGCGGAGGAGGAGGAGGAGGAGGAGGAGGAGGAGGAGGAGGAGGAGGAGGAGGAGGAGGCGGAGGTGGCGAGGAGGAGGAGGAGGAGGAGGAGGAGGAGGAGGAGGAGGAGGAGGTGGAGGAGGCGTCGGCTTCACCAGCCCGCGCTCTTCCGGGCTTCCCGCCGCGCGGATCGGAGCGACACGCTGTTCCGTCCTCCGGGGCTGGCGTGCCGCCTGGGAGCCGTCGCGGCGACACGCCGCCCAAGAGCTCCCAACCGTGCTCGGCCCCAGCCGGGCCTGTCCCCCTACGTACAGGGGGAATGTTCAAGAATGGTAAACAACAAGTCCTTGGGACGGCATGTGAACAAACATTCGAGATCATACTCGATGTTTGAGCATTGGTGGATTATGTTCTGATTGTTTACCAAACATCCTGTGGTGTTGGGCCTTCGTTTTGAAGAGATGGTGCCCCGCGTTCCTCTCCTTCTCCTCCTCCTCCTCCTCCTCCTCCTCCTCCTCCTCCTCCTCCTCCTCCTCTCCTCCTCCCCCTCCTCCTTCCTCCTCCCTCTTCCCCTCCTTGCCTTTGCCTTCCGCATGTCCATTCCTACACACTCCGCACGCGTTTCGTGACCTCATAGGAGCTCCACCGAATGCCCCAATGGCGGTGTCCACATTCGTCCGCGCCACCCATTTCGGCTCACCCCTCACGCGTTTCGTCGCCCCATGAGGAGCTCCACCGAAGGCCCCAGTGGCGGTGTCCACATGCGTCCGCGCATCCATTTCGGCGCACCCCTCACACGTTTCGTGGCCCATAGGGAGCTCCACCGAAGGCCCCAGTGGTGGTGTCCACGTGCGTCCGCGCCACCCATTTCGGCACACCCCGCACACGTTTCGTGGCTCATAGGGAGCTCCACCGAAGGCCGCAGTGGCGGTGTCCACATGCGTCCGCGCCACCCATGTCGGCGCACCCCTCACATGCTTCGTGGCCCCACAGGGAGCTCCACCGAAGGCCCCAACGGCGGTGTCCACATGTGTCCGCGCCACCAATTTCGGCGCACCCCTCACACGTTTCGTGGCCCCATACAGACCTCCACCGATGACTGCATTCTCAACTGCGTATGGCTAATTGGCTAATTTTCTGTTGTTGTTTTTGTTTCCTCCTTCGCCAAAATCTAATTTTGCCAATTTTTGCTAATGTTTATTGTTGCTAGTTTTTATTTTTTTTTGTTTTTTTTGTGTGCTGTTATTGCTAATTTGTATCTTTCGCTAAAAATTCTCCCTGTAGGGGGACATGCCCGACCTAACCCTGCTAACCATGCCTGCTAACCCTGCCTTCTCCTGCGTTGTTTTGCTGTTTTTGCTAACCTTTATTCCTCGTCCAAGATCCCCCCCGCTCCTAACCTAACCCGGCCTAACCCTGCTCTGGCCTAACCCTGCTCCGGCTCCCAGCAGCGGGCGCCCGGCCCCGCCCGCGCCCGCCGGGCCGCCCGCGCCCGCGCCCGCGCATGGAGCGCGGCCCGCCGGCACAGGACGGGGGCGGCTTTGCGGCGGGGGTCTCGCGGGCCCGTCCGCCGGCTGCCCGCCCGCCCGCCTGGCTGCCCGCTGCTGCTGCTGCTGCCTGCTGCTCGGAGGAGGCCAGGGGCTCGGGGAGCGTTCGGCTACAGGCTCCAGGCTCGAGAGGTCCTCGGGCACTTCCTCGTCGGCCCGCCGCGCTCTCTTGGGCAGGGACCGACCGTCCCGGCATTCCTATACCCTGACTCCAGATCCGCCCTACTTTGGCTTCTTTTCCAACTTAAAATTGCGTCGGAAATCCACCTATAAGAAGCCGAAAAAGTAGGGCGGACATTTCTGCACCCAACAGAAAGTAGGGCGGAGCTTTTGGAGGTCCGCGCGGAGCTTCGAAGGTTTTTAAGGTTTTCCAAACCATCCTGCGGTGTTGGGTCCTCGTTTTGATGAGACAGCGCCCCGCGTTCCTCACTCCTTCCTCCTCCCCCTCTTCCCTCCTCCCATCATCTTCTTCATCATCATCATCATCATCACCACCACCATCATCATCAGCATCAGCATCAGCATGAGCATGGGCATAATCATCGTCATCAGCATCAGCATCATCATCATAATCATCATCATCATCATCATCATCATCATCATCATCATCATCATCATCATCATCATCATCATCATCATCAGCAGCATCAGCATCGCCAGCGCCATCGTCATCGCCATCGCCATCGCCATCGCCATCGCCATCATCAGTGGGGGTGCCCGCATGCGTCCGCCACACCCAGTGCAGCGTTTCGTGGCCCCATGGGAGAAGCTCCACGTAAGGCCCCAGTGGGGGTGGCCACATGCGTCCGCCACACCCAGTACAGCGTTTCGTGGCCCCATAGGGAGCTCCACGTATGGCCTCAGTGGGGGTGGCCACATGCGTCCGCCACACCCAGTGCAGCGCTTCGTGTCCCCATGGGGAGCTCCACGTAAGGCCCCAGTGGGGGTGGCCACATGCGTCCGCCACACCCAGTGCAGCGCTTCGTGTCCCATTAGGGAGCTCCACCTGAGGCCTCACTGGAGGTGGCCACATGCGTCCGCCACACCCATGCCGGCTCACCCCTCACACGTTTCGTGGCCTGATAGGGAGCTCCAGCTAATGCCCCAGTTGGGGTGGCCACGTGCGTCCGCCACACCGAGTACAGCGTTTCGTGGCCCCATAGGGAGCTCCACGTAAGGCCCCAGTGGGGGTGGCCACATGCGTCCGCCACACCCAGTACAGCGTTTCGTGGCCCCATAGGGAGCTCCACGTAAGGCCTCAGTGGGGGTGGCCACATGCGTCCGCCACACCCAGTGCAGCGCTTCGTGTCCCATTAGGGAGCTCCACGTAAGCACATGCGTCCGCCACACCCAGTGTAGCGCTTCGTGGCCCCATAGGGAGCTCCACCTGAGGCCCCACTGGGGGTGGCCACATGCGTCCGCCACACCCATGCCGGCTCACCCCTCACACGTTTCGTAGCCTTATAGGGAGCTCCAGCTAATGCCCCAGTTGGGGTGGCCACGTGCGTCCGCCACACCGAGTACAGCGTTTCGTGGCCCCATAGGGAGCTCCACGTAAGGCCCCAGTGGGGGTGGCCACATGCGTCCGCCACACCCAGTACAGCGTTTCGTGGCCCCATAGGGAGCTCCACGTAAGACCCCAGTTGGGTTGGCCACATGCGTCCGCCACACCCAGTGCAGCGCTTCGTGGCCCCATAGGGAGCTCCACGTAAGACCCCAGTTGGGTTGGCCACATGCGTCCGCCACATCCAGTGCAGCGCTTCGTGGCCCCATAGGGAGCTCCACCTGAGGCCCCCGTGGGGGTGGCCACATGCGTCCGCCACGCCCAGCACAGCGTTCCGTGGCCTCATAGGGCGTTCCACCGACGGCCCCAGTGGGGGTGTCCACATGCGTCCGCCACATTCAGTACAGCGCTTCGTGGCCCCATAGGGAGCTTCACCTGCGGCCCCAGTGGGGGTGCCCGCACGCGTCCGCCACACCCAGTACGCCCCTCACACGCTTCGTGGCCCCATGGGGGATTTCACTGAAGGCCCCTGCGGGTTCGCTTGGCGACGTTGCATCCATTGGATGATGATGATGATGATGATGATGATGATGATGATGATTATGATGATGATGATGATGCTGATGATGATGATGATGATGATGATGATGATGATGGTGATGATGATGATGATGGTGGTGGTGATGATGATGCTGATGACGATGAGTATGCTTATGCTGGTGATGCTGATGCAGATGCTGGTGCTGATGCTGATGATGCTGCTGATGATGATGATTATGATGATGCTGATGATGATGCTGATGCTGATGCTGATTAGGATGATGATGATGATGATGATGATGATGATGATGGTGACGCTGCTGCTGCTGATGATGATGATGATGATGATGACGATGCTGATGATGATGACGATGCTGACGATGATGATGTTGTTGATGATGATGATGATGCTGAATGTGATGATGATGATGATGCCGATGATGATGATGATGCTGATGATGATGATGATGATGATGATGATGATCATGCTGATAATGATGATGATGATGATCATGATAATGATGATGATGAGTATGAGTATGAGTATGAGTATGAGTATGAGTATGAGTATGAGTATGAGTATGATGATGATGATGCTTATGTTGATGATAATGATGATGATGATGATGATGATGATGATGATGATGATGATGATGATGATGATGATGATGATGATGATGATGATGATGATGATGCTGATGCTGAGGCTGAGGCTGAGGCTGAGGATGATGATGCTGATGAGGATGATGATGGCGTTTCGTGGCCACACTTGGAGCGCCATTGAAGGTCCCAGTGGCGCAGTTCGCATGCGTCTCCGCCAGCCATTTCGGCACACCACTCAAACGTTTCGTGGCCTCACAGGGGGCTCCACCGAAGGCCCCAGTGGCGCAGTTCGCACGCGTCCGCCACACCCGAATCGGCACACCCCTCGCACGCTTCGTGGCCCCTGTGGGCCCAGTGGCAGTGTCGCCACGTACGGCCTTCTCCCTCCTCATATGGGCTGGCGTTGTCGGACCCATGGCGCCGTGGTCTATGCGCCACGCCAGCTCCCATCACTCATCATCCTTCCCCTTCCGTCTCTCTCCACCTCCTTCTGCTCGCCCTCCTCGTTCTCCCCCATCTCCTTCATGTTCCCAACCATCCTGTGGTGTTTCCCCTCCGCCCTCGTCCCCCTCCCCCCTGCGTTTCACCCACCCGGTACTGCGCTTCGTGGCCCCATAGGGAGCTCCACCGAAGCCCCAAGTGGGACCGCCCGCATGCGTCCTGGAAGCCCAATTTGGCAGACCTCTCACACGCTTCGTGGCCCCATAGGGGGTCCCACCGAAGCCCCCAGTGGAAGCGTCCGCATGCGTCCCGAAAACCCAATTCGGCAGACCCCTCACACGTTTCGTGGCCCCATAGGGAGCTCCACCGAAGGCCCCAATGGGACCGCCCGCACGCGTCCCGAACATCCAATTTGGCAGATTCCTCACACGTTTCGTGGCCCCATGGGGAGCTCCACCGAAGACCCCAGTGCCACCGCTCGCATGCGTCCCGAACACAGAATTTGGCACACCCATCACACGTTTCGTGGCCCCATAGGAGCCCCACCGAAGGCCCCAGTGCCAACGCCCGCATGCGCCCCGAACATTCAATTTGGCACACCCTTCACACGTTTCGTGGCCCCTTGGGGAGCTCCACCTCTCACGCGTTTCGTGGTCCCGTAGGGAGCTCCACCGAAGGCTCCCAGTGGGACCGCCCGCATACGCCCCCCACACCAATTTCGGCACACCCCTGCGCACGCTTCGTGGCCCTATAGGGAGCTCCACCGAAGGCCCCAGTGCCACCGCCCGCAGACGTCCCCCAAACCCATTTCGGCACACCCCTCAGACGTTTCGTGGCCCCATAGGGAGCTCCACCGAAGGTCCCAGTGCTACCGCCCGCATGCGTCCCCCCCACCCAGTACAGCGCTTCGTGGCCCCATAGGGAGCTCCGTCGAAGGCTCCATGTAACGGAAAGAGCGAGGTAAGAGTGATGACGTTGTGTTGGGGCGAAGCCCTTAAGGGAGGGGTCCAGGGGAGTGGCGAGGCGGGGGTGCAGGGCTGGTAATTGCAATTTTCTGGCTTTTCCTATGGTTTTTGCATGGTTTTCGGGTTCCCCCCCAAAGACGGCCCAAGAGCGCTCCAAGAGAGCCCAAGACCGCCCAAGACGGCCCACGAGGCCCCCAAGAGGCGCCCAAGGGGCGTCCCAAGAGGGCCCAATAGGCCCAAATCATTGATTGTCCATCGGAAAACGTGCATTTTTAGCATGTACGGCTTTTTGGCTTTCACGGCGTTGACGACGGCTCAAGAGGCCCCCAACAGAGGGCCCCCAGATGGCCCAAGGAGCGCCCAAGACAGCCCAAGGGGGCCCCAAGGCGGCCCCAAGAGGGGGACCACGAACCGACAAGTTCAGCCTTTCGTCCCAAGACGCTCCCAGGAGGCCCCAAGAGCCCCGCAAGAAGCGCCAAGAGGCCCCCAAGAGGCGTCCCAAGAGGCCACCAGGAGACCGATTTCCGATAGAAAACATACATTTTTAGCATACACGGCTTTTCGGCTTTCACGGCGTTGAAGACGGTCTAAGAGGCCCCCAAGACCGCCCCAAGACGGCCCAAGAGGCTCCCAAGAGGCCCCCAAAACGGCCCAAGAGGGCTCCAAGACGGCCCCTGAGGCGCCCAAGACGGCCCAAGAGGGCCCCAAGACGGCCTCAAGAGGGAGACCGCGAACCGAAAAGTCTAGCCTTTCGCCCCAAGAAGCCCCCGGGTGGCCCTAAGAGCCCCCCAAGAAGCCCCAAGGGGCCCCCAAGAGGCCCCCAAGAGGCCGAGACGCCCCCAAGAGGCCCCAAAAGGGCTCCCAAAGGGCCCCAATAGGACTCCCAAGAAGGCCCAGAGACGCCAAATACAGAGCGATCGGTATCGCAAATAGCTCTTCACACCAAGGCTCCCAAGAGCGAACGGTGACGTAAACAAGCTGATAAGACCAAGGCTCCCAGCAGAGAGCGGTGACGTAACAAGTTCCTGACACCAAGGCCCAGCCAAGGCTCAGGAACGGGCGGCAACGCAACAATCTCTGAACACCAAGGCTCCCAAGAGCGAGGGGTGACGTAACAAGCTCTCAACGCCAAGGCTCTCAGTACGAACGGTGGTGTGAGTAATTTCGGTTTTGTTTCTGAAGCGCTCTTTCCGTTTCCGTGCCGGTCCAGGTCTACCGCCCGCATGCGTCCCACCAAGTACAGCGTTACGTGGCCCCATCGGGAGCTCCACCGAAGGCCCCAGTGTCAGCGCCCGCATGCGTCCCCCCACCCAGTACAGCGCTTCGTGGCCCCATAGGGAGCTCCACCGAAGGCCTCAGTGCTACCGCCTGCATGCGTTCCCCCCCACCCAGTGCGGCGCTTCGTGGCCCCATAGGGAGCCCCACCGAAGAATATATTCATTATTGCGGTACCCACAACTGCATCTGGTTTGGTCCTTCGCCAGGATAATTTTGGTTCTCTCGGAGGGTGCCGAAACCGCTGCCTCGTTTTCGCCTTTCTGGGCTTCCTGGGATGCCCTCGTCGCCGCGGCTGGATTCCTCCGAAGTTCGGGTCAGAACTCTCCTCGGCAGAGGGCCGGGGAGTCGCGGTATCGGTACTTTTTGGTTCCCCCAGCTGCTGCCCGCTGCCTGCTGTCTGCTGCTGCCTGCTGCTGCTCGTCTGCTGCCTGTCTGCTGCGTGCCTGCTGCGTGCCTGCTGCGTGCCTGCTGTCAGTGCGAGCGGGC